GGAGAGCGAGCTGGAGACCCTGAGGAGGAAGCTGGAGCAGCTGGAGAAGATGGAGGTCAAGGAGAAGGTGGTCTTCTCCGAGAGCGTCCAGGTGGAGAGAGGGGACACCGAGCAGGAGATCCAGAAGCTCAGGAGCAGCCTGGAGGAGGAGAGCCGGAGCAAGCGGGAGCTGGATGCGGAGGTGAGCCGGCTGGAGGCCAAGCTGTCGGAGCTGGAGTTCTCCAACTCCAAGTCGTCCAAGGAACTGGACTTCCTCAGGGAAGAAAACCACAAACTGCAGCTGGAGCGGCAGAGCCTGCAGCTGGAGACCCGCAGGCTGCAGTCGGAAATCGAGATGGCGGCGGCGGAGACTCGGGACCTGTGGAGCGTGACGGGGTCGGCGGTGGACCCCGGAGCGCAGCTCGACTCCAGGCTGTGGTCCCTGGAGCGGGAGCTGGAGGACCTCAGGAGGCTCTCCAGAGACAAAGACCTGGAGATCGATGAGCTGCAGAGGCGCCTGGGCTCCGTGGCCGTCAAGCGGGAGCAGAGGGAGAACCACCTGCGGCGCTCCATTGTGGTCATCGACCCCGACTCGGGCCGCGAGCTGTCCCCGGGGGAGGCCCACCGGGCCGGCCTCATCGACTGGAACATGTTTGTGAAACTCAGGAGCCAGGAGTGCGACTGGGAGGAAATCTCGGTCAAGGGTCCCACCGGGGAGTCCTCTGTGATCCACGACAGGAAGTCTGGCAAGAAGTTCTCCATCGAAGAGGCCCTGCAGAACGGAAGGCTGAGCCCTGCCCAGTATGACCGCTACGTCAACAAGGACATGTCCATCCAGGAGCTGGCCGTCCTGGTGTCTGGACAGAAGTAGGCACGGCCCTGCCCTCAGCTTCCTGGAAGCAGACGCCGTCTCTCTCCTGCCCAGCAACCTCCTTGGTGTCTCCTCTCCCTGGCCCCATGCAGAGCCCAGCACATCCCCCCACCCCCACCCAGCCGTCAAGCTGCTCAGAGCACAGCTCACAAGGGCCAAACCATCATCTGACCCGGTGAGTGACCTGCTTCCTCCTCTGATGATTCAAACCCGTGGTGCCCATCTCTTTTCTCCCTTTTCCCACACACTCCCATCAGCAGACTCTGTGACACCTGGAAGCAACTGAAAACTACAAAAGCACAAGACAACAGGGGCAGACAGGCCTGCCCCATGCAGCACTGGCCTTCGCGCCCAGCGGGGGAAACTTGAGGGCAGACAGGCCTCCCCTCCACACCTTTCCCTTCAGCAGCGCTGGCCCCCAGGGCTGCCAACCTGCGTGCACGCCCCTCTGGGATGCTGGCTGCGCTGACTTTTCCATCCGAGGCCTCCAGGTGAGACAGATCTTGGCTCTACGGTGTGTGGACCTGGTGCTCGGGTGAAGCCTAACCATCAAGCCAGACTGTCCCAAGAAAACGCGCCATCAGAAGACTGTCCGTGGTTCTGAAATTAACTCTCCTAGTGGGCTGTGTTGTTGTTAGTCTTAGCTTTGGTGCCTAAGTCCTGCTTACTATCTCACTGGCGTTTGGTAGACTCCACACTCGATTTTTCATCAAATGAATTTTGGGCTCTCTATATCTCATGTATTATGTAAGAAAATGGCAAGCAATAGGGAACTATTTATAGTGCGAAAATAAACACCTGGTGGCTTGATTCTAATTTCATGTTGTGTTTCTGCCTCTTTTGCATGTGAGGCTTATTCCCCAAACCCCTCCTGGCTTTCAGCCAAAATGGATGCACCCCACATACCAGCTCCTAAGGGAGGAAGAACTGCCTGCAAATATGGTAAAAAGGAATGAATGAGAGACGATGTTTTGGAAATCTTGAAACAATTTATTGAGTTGCTTTATACAAGATTAACAATTTCCACACCGCCCCAACACCAACATAGTTGCTGCACAAAAGCCACAGCCCTCTCACATCCAAGAAATGCCCCGGCAAGGAAAGCCCTGCAGCGCTGTGGCCGCGAGCCCGCTCCGCCCGCGGACCTGCCTTGCCATGGCTTTTTAAGTCATTCACTCTTTCGTTACCACAAATAAAGCATCAACAAGGAAAAGAAACCTCATAAACTCCCCATCAAAGAAACGTTTCCCTGAGGCAAGAGGCATCACTAGATTCCTAAGGAGGAGGGTGTCCTGCTCCAGCGGCACGCTCAGTGGCACCCGGGAGGAGGGGCACGGCAGGGGAGGGCGCGGGGGCTCCCAGGGCTCAGCCTGCACGGACGGCCTCTGCGCGGCTCTGAGCTCAGCGATACAAATCTCTTCTTTGGCTCTTTTGCTACTACCTAAGACTATTCTGTAAACAAACTGGAAACCCAAGTTGCAAAAAATATATGTAATAAAGGGATAAGGAATCCACTTAGCCCAATGTGAACACGTGTTGGTTCTTATGTAAAAAAGAAGTTAGAGCAGAGGCCTGGCCGACTAGCTGGCAGACGTCTTGCTCCCCTGGAAACTGGGCAACCCCTGCGTCAATCATGAGTTACTGAGCGCTGTACCCTGGGAGTCAGGAACCAAAAGAGCTGCCTGTGTCTCCACACACAGGCGTACATTCTGACGAGGCTGTTTACTCTCAACATACTTGAAATCACTCAGCTGCAGCAGTCAGTTCAGACTTCACAGGACAGGCAAGTGCCCTAAAAATCCTAGTGAAGCAGCCACTGGCTGAGTGAGAACAGCGTGACGACTTGAGCTCCGGGTCACCGTCCTAGTCTGTCTCTGACGTCCTCTCAAGCTCATCAGCACGTCACCCTTAAGTCAATGCACAGCCCTGCTGCCTGGAAAGCCAGGACCTCGAGGCCTGTTTCTACACAGCAGACGCTTCACAGAGGCCTGTTCCTGCAGCTCCGCCTGAGAATGGTTTCTAAATAAACTGGAATGTCTACCTGTGACTTGGAACCCCTCGCATCCTCGGCCCTCAAAGAGATGAAGAAGGGCCTTGAGGCTCTGTGGTCTGCCTGCATGAATTGTGGAGAAACCAACGGGGCCTTGGCTGAACTGGACCTGGGATTTGGGGCCCAGATGACCTTCAAGTCAGGATGGCACAGATTATGATGTGCAACCATAAAAAACCCAATTAAATAAAACTGGCTATGTCTTAAGTACAGCCGTATCTTTAAAAAAGGTCTTCATCTGAGATCCACTCAGAGCTGAATGGATGTGTGTCTGATTCTGCTCCACCATAAAGGCACTGGAATTATGTCTTCCTAGGAACAACATGACGTGCGAAGAATAGTCCCGTTCTATCCAATGCATTTAATGGTAAGGATGAAAACTGAGCCCAAAATAAGTGTCTTTTAAAAACCCTACCACAGTTGCTGAATCTACAAAGGCCTTTTCTCTAAAAGAGCTTCACGGTCACGTTCAGTGGAGAGACTGGCCCCCACAGTGCAGGGGTCGGGTGTTCGGAGTGCTCTTCAGAGAACAAGGAAAGTCTCCCAGCTGCGGCGTTGGCCAGCCTGGTCCTGTTGGGCACACAGCCTGAGGGTGGAGGGGCACCACAACCATCCAGGGACCCCACGGCAGCCAGAAGGAGCCCCTGACCAGTAGGGCACCATGAGGTACTCTGACCGAATGCGAGGGGTCGGGCGGATCTGAAGCACAGGTGCACCCCCGCGTTGCCTGGCACTAGAGCTCCGAACACGACCTAGCGCGCCCCCAGGCTAGCGCTGCCCCCACAACGATTGTCCGCAGCAGAGCCACGAGGCCCGGAGCACCAGGCCGCTCAGGGCCTCCAGAGAAGCACGGGGCTGCTCCCCACACTGAAGGCACATCACATGTGCCCAGAGACGCTGCACTAAGCGCTCACGCCCTCTCCGGGAGACAACCAATGGCAGAAGGAGCATAGTCATTATCCGGCTTCCGAGACCTCCTTGTTCAGCTTCTAGCCTCTCCTCCGAAAGTCACAACTTCCGGGGTACACTGGGCCCTTTCCCATGAAGCTGAGAAGCATCTGGAAAAGAGTAGGCAAAAACAGAACACAAGTCTTTCAGGAGCTGTGACTCCCCGAAGGCAGCAGTAACCAAACCTCAAGGAGATGACTTCTTAAATAGCAGCAGCCCCTGAACACTGAGTGTTCTAAGGCTCCAATGCCGCCCGGCTACCTGAGCTCGCTGCTCCTGCGTACCTGCGTGTGCGGCCACCGCAGGGGTGATGACTGGCGGGGTACCCCGGTCACGGGGCCGCAGCTCTGCTGCGCACCAGGCCGCATTCTCAGCTATGGCCGCCGACCTGTGGCGGGCAGACTCGGTGGGGAGGCCTGAGGAGCACCCTGAGTGCCCACGCCAACAGAAGACCCTCAGGTCCTCTAAGCACTAGCTCAGAAGCACAGGCATTCTGAGTCCACACAGGAAAGAAGGCGAAGCAGACACCAGTCACAGCTGGGTGGAGCAGACAGCTTTTCTTTACATCCAGGTACTCCTGCAACGTGAGGAACGTCGCAGGGAGAGACATTCAAATAGCCCATTTCAGCACGGATGCTTTTCTGACGGCTTTTTAATATTCACAGGAAAACCAGGAAGGAAATGCTACAAGAAAATGCTTTTCCCTTTTCTGGTAAAGATGCCACAGACCAGTGGTCATGTTTCCAAATGGCTCTTTGATAATTTTCTGTTTGAAAGAGTGTCCCCGAAAGGAAACAGAAGCGGGGCAATCTCTTTCAAAAGCCACAGCTCCTGCCTGAATGGCGAGAGCTGTGACCACCAGCTTGTGGAGTCAGCCCCTGTACCTGACGCTTCTCCAGAGGAAAAGGGAGTGATTGCTGATACTGGCTCAGCCTCCCAGTTTCTTTCTCTGAAGAAGCAACAATTCTACCTTGGGGATTTATGAACCATTCTTGCACCCAGATGGCCTCTGGCGTTCACTACAAACACATGAGCCTCAGGACACGGGGCCAAAGCTCTCGGTGCGGCACACCCAGCTGGGCAGCTGCCCATGGTCCCAGGCCACCAGGGCTACCCCAGACTCAGCTTCCCGAAGACTGGCTCTCCCCTGACCAGTACAGCCCCTGCTCGTTTCTGGAGCAGGTTGAGAGAAGTAAGAAGAGCAGCGGGCTAAACCAAGATCCCATGAGGGCGCACAGCAGCACTGCCTTAAGCGGGCCTAGGAGCCAAGAAGCCTCGCTCCCAGGACAGAGTGAGGCCAACTGCTCACCACACAGGTGCTGGCCCAGGGCGTCTGAACCCTCTTCTCACAGCTGTAAACCCAGGGCTTGCAGAGTGCCCTTTCTGGCATCACTGTTCTATGGGGAGGAGAGGCAAGGGAAGAATGGGAACGCTGCCTCAGTCCAGTCATGTCCCACATCTCTGCGTTCACGTCTGAACTGAACTGAAAGCATCTCCTCTCGTGGATACACGCTGACATCAGAGGTAAGGGTCCGTCCTGAAGCCACTGTCACCTGTCGCTGCTACGTGGACTTTCCCTTTCACTTTAACTAAGCTGAGAGAGTCTGCTGTTAGCTGGCAGGGGAAGCCGTGAGAACTGAAAGGCCTGCAGTGCCCCAGCGAGCCCTCGGGCAATCAGCACCATGACCCTTCTAGTCCTGCTAACTGAAGAGGAAAGGCTGAGCTAAGGGGTGGGAACTCCTTAGCCTTGCACACAGGCCACCACGACATCCTCTGTGATCACACTGGGTAGGGCAGGCCTGGAAAATGTCAAAAGCTGTAGGAGCCTGTGTCATTCTGAGTACCCACAGAGCCAGAGCCTCAGAGGACAAACCAAGACAACACGGTGATGACAAGGTGCAGACATCGAAATCCTTGGCAGCAGACAAGACCTCTGCTGGGGGAGGGGCACGGCCCATCGTGCGCGTGGCACCGACCACCTGGGAATTACCTGGCAGGCTCTGCGGGATGTGAGTGGACACGGCGGGGTGTGGGACAGGCGCTGCGCGGGGCGGGCTGGAGTGCAAGCCAGCCAGGAGACCTGAGAGAAAACAGAGGAGGGAGAGAAGGACAAAGCGCACACACTGAGGACAAGGAGGAGAGCAGCCTGGGCGCTGAGCCCCAGACAACATACTGGAACAGTTCTGGGTGGAAACTCCAAGGGGGCTCAGTACAGTCCCCGGGAAGGCTGCCCATGGTCACACACCAGACAGATATAGGAACCCAGCACGTGACAACAAGACTCGTGGGTCACACAGAGGCACTGGGGCACCTGGCATACCTCCAGCGTGAGGGAGGAAGGAGACACACTTACTGTGGCTGAGGCCGTGGTGGAACGTCCCGGGTGCAGGGCCTGTGACGATGGCATCCTTGGAGACCCCTGCCTTGGCAGGGGAGTCGGCGCTAAAGGAGAATACGTGGAGGGGAAGCTGGGAGATAATCCCCAGGGGGTTCGAGTTCAAGGTCCCGGGCAGCTTTGGGCTGCCTGCCTTGTAGGACGAAGACAGCAGATTTAAGGGTGAGGAGCTGGTCAGCAGCACAGCCCCACTCGTTCCTTTCTGGGGAAGAAGCACACACAGGGGTCAGAACTGCAGCCCTGCCCACAGCTCACTCACAGACCAAACCTGGTAACTGACGGGGGGTGGGACGGGTCAGGGAACACGCCCATGGCTACATCAGCTGCCCCTTCTGAAGGCATCCCCTCCACTGCAGCCCCAGAGGAGGGCAGGCTCTGTAAATTGGCACAGAACAGCTCCCAGCACAGAGTTCATTTTAAAAAGCAGGTATTCAAAACCAGACAAGACACTATCAAGACAAAAAAAAAGAAAGAAAACTGCAGCCCAGTTTCTTTGATGAATATAGATGCAAAATTTCTCAACAAAGTATCAGCAAACAGAATTCAACACATTAAAAAAAGTTCATACACTACAATCAAGTGGGGTTCATCCCAGGGACACAAGGATGGTTCAGCACATGCAAATCAGTCAAAACGATACACCACATCCACAAGAGGAAGGACAAGAACCGTATGACATCTCAATAGATGCAGAAAAAGCTTTTGACAAAATTCAATATCCATTCATGATTAAAAAAAAAACAACCTCTTACAAAGTGGGCACAGAGGGAACATACCTCAATATAATAAAAGCTGTTTATGACAAACCGACAGCCAACATAATACTCAATGGTGTCAAGTTGAAAGCCTTCCCACTAAAATCTGGAACAGGACAGCGATGCCCACTCTCACCACTGCTATTCAACATAGTACTGCAGGTCTTGGCCACAGCAATCAAACAAGAAAAAGAACTAAAAGGGATCCAAATAGAAGGGAAGAGGTAAAACTGTCACTATATGCAGAATGACATGACACTATATACAGAAAGCCCCAAAGATTCCATACAAAAACTACTAAAGCTGATAAACAAATTCAGCAGGGTAGCAGGATGCAAGATTAACATACAGAAATCTGTTGCATTTCTTTACACTAACAGTGAAATACCAAAAAAGGAAAGTAAAAAAAAAATCCCTTTTAAAAATTTTATCAAAAAAAAATACTTAGGAATAAACCTGATCAAGGAGGTGAAAGACTTATAGGCTGAGAACTATAAAACACTGATAAAGGAAATTAAACATGACTTAAAGAAATGGAAAAATATCCCATGCTCTTGGATAGGAAGAATCAATGTTGTCAGAGTGGCCGTACCACCCACAGCAATCTACAGATTTAATACAATCCCTATCAAATTATCCAGGACATTTTTCACAGAACTAGAACAAATAATTCTAAAAAAAATTTTTTTTTCAAATGGAGGTGTTAAGGATTGGACCCAGGACCTCAGGCATGCTAAGCATGGACTCTACCACTGAGCTATACCCAGTCCCCAATCCTGAAATTTACATGGAATCACCAAAGATCCAGAATTGCCAAAGCAATACGGAAGAAAAAGAACGAAACCGGAGGCATAACCCTCACAAACTTCAAACAATACTACAGAACGACAGTAATCAAAACAGTGGGGTATTGGCACAAAAACGGACACATGGGTCAGTGGAACAGAATGGAGAGCCCAGAAATAAACCCACACACCTATGGTCAATTAATCTTCGACAAAGGAGGCAAGAATATACAATGAAGAAAGACAGTCTCTTCATCAAGTTGTGCTGGGAAAGCTGGACGGCTGTATGTACATCAATGAAGTTAGAACACTCCCTCCCACCGTACACAAAAATAAACTCAAAATAGCTTAAAGACTTAAACATAAGACAGCACACCATAAACCTCCTAGAAGAGAACATGGGAAAAACATTCTCTGATACAAATACTAGCAAACAAACCAAAGCAACAAAAATAAAAACAAAAATAAACAAATGGGACCTAATTAAACTTACAAGCTTTTGCACAGCAAAGGAAACTATAAATGAAATGAAAAGACAACCTACGGACTGGGAGTAAATATTTTCAAATGATTCAACTGACAAGGACTTAACTTCCAGAACATACAAACAGCTCATATAACAACACAAAAAATAAACAATCCAATCAAAAAATGGGTAGAAGATCTAGACATTTCTCCAGTGAAGACCCACAGATGGCTAACAGGCACATGAAAAGATGTTCAATAGTGCTAATTATTAGAGAAATGCAAATTAAAACTACAATGAGGTATCACCTCACATTGGTCAGAATTGGCATCGTTAAAAAGTCCACAAAGGATAAACGCTGGAGGTGTGGGGAAAAGGGAATCCTCCTACACTGTTGGTGGGAATGTAATTTGGTGCAGCCACTATGGCAAACAGTACGGTGACTCCTTAAATAACTAAAAACAAGAGTTACTATATGATCCAGCAATCCTAATCCTGGGCAAATATCCAGAAAAAAACTCTAACTCAAAAAGATATATGCACCCAAGTGTTCAAAGCAGCACCATTTACAATAGCCAAGATGTGGAAGCAGCCTAAATGTCCATGAACAGATGACTGGATAAAGATGTTGTGGTATATTTATACAATAGAATACTACTCATAAAAAGAATGAAATACTGCCATTTGCAGCAACATGGATGGACCTAGAGATTATCATTTGAAGTCAGAAGGAGAAAGACAAATACCATATATCACTGATATGAGGAATCTAAAAAAATGATAGAAATGAACTTATTTACAAAACAGAAACAGACTCACAGACATAGAAAACAAACTTGTGGTTACCAAAGCAGAAGGGGGTGGGAGGGATAAATTAAGAGTCTGGGATTGGCAGATACAAACTGCTATATATAAAATAAACAAGTTCCTACTGTATAGCAGATGGAACTATATTCAATATCTTGTAATCTATAATGAAAAAAATTAAGACTATCTATCTATCTATCTATATAACTGAATCACTGTGCTCTACACCAGAAACACAACATTGTAAATCAACTATACTTCAATTAAAATAAATTAAAAAAAATAAAAAATGAAAAGCAGGTATTGAATGTGCCTCCTTTGTGCAAGAAAGGGAAGAATATCATATACAGACACCCACAAATACAGGTAATATGTGAATGTATGCACTAATATACATAAAACATACACATACATTTGTATGTATTAATCTTTGTTTTAAGAAAGAAATAGGGAAAAAACCTGGAAACTAAGGAATGCAGTTACAGGGGCTGCAGGAACAGGGCAGAGACAAATGAACCCTTGCTGAACATACCTTTCTATAGTTTTGTCCTTTGCAACCACATAGTTGTCTTATATGTTGGAAAAATAGAGAAAAAAAATCTCTCATTTCCCCAACTGCATCCAGACTTCTTATAATTACCCACAGGCAAGCCTCATTAACCACTGGACTCCGTCAAATCACCTGTGTCTGACCTGCAGCGTCTTTCCAAACCCAATCAAAACAATCACTCTTAGAAGGTACTGATCTTCCTGGGGCAGGAACATCTCCACAGAACTAGTGGTCGGAGACACAGTGTTAATCTCACTTAGTTGCTTGGAGAGATGGACAGGTAGAAGGCTACGGAAGGAAAGCTTCCTGGCTCTTTCTACATCACCCACACCCACAGCCTCCCTGCAAACACGGTGCTGACTAGTCCTTTCCCTCCGCTCATCCTAAGGAGACGTTTGGGGCTCTCCTGGGATTCCTGCCACCAGAACAGTAAAGACTTGAAAACAGGAAGCCCAGTTCTCCTCCCGATTTCCAAGCTCTGTTCCTACCTGACCGCCAGTGTCAGACCTCACTCTCTGACCAGGGCAAGGCAAGCAGCCCTGCCTGTCCTCAGGGCCCCTAGGGGCTGGGCTGCGTGGTACTCACTGGCAAGGAGGTAGACGATGTCACGCTGCTAACTGCACTGGGCTTCAGGGAGGAGGTCAGTAACTTTGCCACCCCCTGGGTCCCACCGCTAGAATCTCCATTTGGACCACCGGGAGGGGCCACCAGGGTCAGCTTCTGGGAAGCAGGCGTTTTTTTCACTCCAGAGCCTGTGGCGGGTCGGCTGGTGGGCTGCCCTGTGGAGGAAGGCTGCACCCCAGGGAGCAGGTTCCCGGATGTAGAGCTCTGGACCGGTGTTCCTCCGGAGGAAGAGCTGCCAGAGGAAACCCCATGTTTGGAGAGAGAGCCAGCAAAGGGACTGTTCTTGTAAGACGGCCCTGAAGAGCTGGCTGGGTGCTGTTTTGCTGGATGGCTCAGGGCAGCGGAGGACGAAACTGGCGTCTTGTGAGAACTGCTGCTGGAGGCTGGCGTTCCTCCTGAGCAGGCCGGTGTGGAGGGATGGAAGCTCTGGCCTTTGGTAGCTGTCTTGACAAGCTGGAGGAGGGACCGGTGACACTGAGGGGAGGCAGGCTTTGGGCCCTGGAGCTTACCGACAAATGGTGTTGCGGGGGTGAAGCTCTTCTGCTGAGTGCCTGCATGAAAGACTTTGACCTGGGAGCCAGGCACGGGAGCTACCGCCTGGGCTGCGTGAGACGTCCGTGGCAAACCGTGGTGCTTGGTTTTGGATGGGTGCACTTCTGACAGGCCTTTGCTAAGGGGACCCTGACAGGACAGCTCTTTGTAGCCAGAACTCTCTGATTTTTTCTCCTGAGAGGACTGCCCCAGTGCCAGAGCCTGTTCAGCCAGAAAATTGAGGGGTGACTGCAAGGAGCTAGAGGGTGGTGGGGCAGAAGGGCTGGGCTTCGGAAAGTTCCTTTTTTCTTCCGTACATAAAACACCTGCAACTTTCTCTGCAGGCGCTTTCGAGGGTGCGGGCAGTGTGAACTCAGAGCTCCCGCTGGCTCTGCTATTCAGTGCAGCCAGTTCCTTGGACACAGCCTCCAGCGATGAGGCTGAATTACGGATCAAGTCTCCATCCAACGAATCCTCCAGGTTGATAGGAGCAGGATTAGCAAGGCTGCCAGACGCCTGGGACGAGAGCTCCCTGTTCGCAGCTCCAGTACTCAGGCCTCCTCCCAGGTGTTCTGAAGGCAAAGCAAGGGGGCTGCCAATCTGGCCTGATGGGACGGAAACCTTTTTATCAGGCTTAGTAGATGGTTCCTAAAGGAAAGCAGAAAGGCTGTTTAGAAACGTCCAAAGATGCCAACACTGGCCTTGCTGTGAGAACACAAGCGTGAGAATACAAGACAAAGAAGCAGGCCTTCCTGTGCAATCAAAGAGCAAGGTAGGAAGAGAGCAGGTGCCAGGCCTGCGTGGACCTGGACCACCTTCTGCACAGGGCTGGGGCTGGGGCTGGGCTGACCCAAGCACGCACACGTACGCCAATGGGGAAACTCTTCGTGCTGCTTCTGAAAAAGTACAAAACTCGAGCAAGGAGATGCTCCCCTTACTGGCCCTCACACTAGCTCAGTGCTCCTAGCTGCAAGCTGAAAGTGCTGTGTGGCACAGGGACTGCCTTAGTTTCCTTCCCCTCCTTGGTCTTCCCAGCACTCGTCCCCTCAGGGGGCTCAGGAGCCGGGCCTGCCCCATCATTCTCGCTGCCCAAGCGACGCTGCAGGAGTTCAGCATACACTAAGGAAAAACTGATCTGCGTGGTCATTCCCTCAGACTGTTCAGGTATGCTGGAGGGCACTACAAAGCCTCAGGAACAGGCAAAAATTTAGTGAAACAGCAATTTTTCCTGCACGGAGAGATCTCTGCAACATCGAAGTCATTTCAGTCTCTAGTCTCCAAGCATCGCACACACCCCCATGTCTGCCAGGTCAGCTCGACAAAGCCTCCCATCCTGCCCAGGGCAGATCCAGGTTAACCTGCACTTGGCTAGCAGGGTGCTCTTCCATAAGAGATTATGAGAATTCACAGTGCAACGCCTTCACGTCTGCAAGGGCTCACTGCTCCTCAGAGGGCTGTCAGGGAGACCTCACTTAGTCCCACAACAGCCCCAGGAACTGGCCAGATGGGTGCTGTTTCCTAGAACTGAGGCTGGAGGGCCCTAGTGGCCCAGCTCAGGTCTCTCCTTCCAACCCAAGGCCCCTCCTATGGGCCAGGATGCCTCTTGGTACAACCTCAAGAGTGCCATCCTGAAGATCTGTGCTCCAGACCAGGAAAGCTCAGTGAGCTTCCAGGAGCATGGCTGCAGAGAGATAAGAACAGATGGCACATGACCTGGGCAGGCTGACTCACCTTCACCTTCATTTTGGAAGAGACCATGACTTTCTTCTTGGCCCTGTTCAAAGGAATGAACACAGGAAAGGTTTAGAGGAGATTCATGAAGGAGATAAAACCCCACAGTCTTGACAAGCGAAAATGCTGAGACACTCACAGGATTGATGTCACGTGCCCGTGGCCTCGTCTGCTCTCCTTAAACAGAGTCCTGGAACAAACAGAACACTAGCAGGTTTGCACAAGTCCCCTGAAAGCAGACTGCCCCCAGAGCCTTCCTACCTCCCTGGCAGTGAGTGCCTGTCACTCACTAAATGTCGGCAGGCTAGTGAGAGGGCCTAGAGTAGCTGCAGGGGGCCCCTGAAAGCCAAGGACCTAGGATTCACCAAAAACACCATGGCTTTGCCCCCAAACCTCTTGTGGTGATTTTTTTTCCCCTAAAGGCAGGTATACTTTCCTTATTGCCTATTCTCATCGCCTCCAAGAGTAAAATGTGAAGTGACCCATGGCATGTCTTTTCCCCGAGAAACTCAACAGAAGTTTCTTTATGCCCTTCCCTATGTACCTTCAGGAGTCCAGTCTATAAGGTGAGAAGAGCAATTCTATTTAAAGGGACACAGAGACAAGAAAAGGCTCCAAGACTTGTCAAACCCACAGAAGAACCAGGCCCAACCAAGAGCACTAGCCCCAAGAGCAAGATCCTGGGAACATGGCCAAGTAGGAGGCACTAGGAATGGTCTCCCGACCTGGGCAACAACTGCCCCGGCAGCAGCTGTCTACTGGAACTATTCTGGAATTCTGTTCAAGTCTGTTCAAGGCTTGTAACTTCTAGGGGATGACCTAGATGGGTAAATGGTGGTTAATTTCAGTCAGTTTCAGCTCTCAGCACAGCAGCAGCTGCCCTTCCCCCACCGGGTGTTCCTGGAGAGCTTGCAGGAAGGAGGGTGAGCAAAAAGGACCCCGTCCTCCAAAGACGGGGGGTTGGTGCTCTGAAGACTGATTGCTGCTTCTGGTCACAGGCGCAGAGAGGCCACCACCATGGTTGCTGCCCCTCCCCCACTGCTGCAGCACCTGCCCTACTAGCTGAAGTGACCAGCCAGGGGATTTAAAGGACTGGGACCCCTTTTTAACCCTCTTCTTCTTCTTCTTCTTCTTTTTTTTTTTTTCCACTTTTCCCTTCAGGAGTCAGACATTAAAGACTAAAACATCAAAAAAAAAAAAAGGCAAAAACTGCACACATGGGGAAAATTAGAAAGTGACTGTGTATGCCCAAGCAGAAGCTCAGAAGAGACCTAAGAACAACACATTAAGATCACCCCTCAGGCTGAGTGATCCAGAGACAGCCTGCAACATCAAAAACACACAAAAACAATGTAAAAAAGCAGCAAACCCCAGGGAAGGGAGAGAATCTGATTTCCAGAGTTACCACGTTAGTAGATTCAAATGTGCAGTGTTCAATAAAAAAATCATAAGGCAAACGGAGAAACAGTAAATTATGGCCCAAAGGGAAAAAAACCACATCAGCAGAAACTGTCCCTGAAAAAGACCAAACAGCAGACACACTACACAAAAACAATTGTTTTAAAGATGCTCAAAGAACTGCAGGAAGATGCAGAGAAAGTTAAGAAAATAATGTGTGAACGAAATGGAAATATGAATAAAGAGACAGGAAACCTAAAAAGAAATTCTGGAGCTGAAAAGCATAATAAGTGAAGTGAAAACTTCACTAGAGGGCTTCAAAGGCAGACTTTAGCAGGCAGAAAAAAGAAACAGTGAACTTGAAACAGAACAATGAAAATCATCAAGTCTGAGGAACAGAAAGAAAAGACTGAAGAAAAGTGAACAGTCTAAGGGACCTGTGGGACACCACCAAGCAGACACCCGCCCCACACATAGCGTGGATGTCTCAGAAGGATGAGAGAAAGAAAGGGGTCCAGGGAAGAGTGGAAGAAATAGCAGCTGAAAACTTCTGAAATGTGAAAACAAGTGATACAAATGTGAATACATGAATACAAACAATCCAAGAAGCTCAGTGAACTCCCAATAAGATGAACTCAAAGAGACCCACACCAAAACACATTACAATCAAACTTTCAGAAGCCGGAGCCAAAGAGAAAATATTGAAAGTGTCGAGAGAGAATTGAATCACCACATACAAGGGATCCCAATAAAATGATCAGCACATTTCTCATCAGAAACTTTGGGGAGGCGGGTGGGAAGGGATAAACTGGGAATTCAATATTTGCAGACACTGATTGGTATATATAAAATAGATAAACAAGTTTATGCTGTATAGAACAGGAAAATATATTCACTATCTTGTAGTAGCTTATAGTGAAAAAGAGTATGAAAATGAATATACGTATATTCATGTATGACTGAAGAATTGTGCTGTACACCAGATATTGACACAACATTGTAAACTGACTACACCTCAATTAAAAAAAACTTAAAAAAAAGACAAAGAAACTTTGGAGGCCAGAAGACAGTGGACTGATATACTCCAAGTACTTAAGAAAAAAAAATACTGTCAAGCAAGAATCCTGTATCTGACAAAACTGACCTTCAAGAGTGAGGGAGAAGGGAGAAAAAAAAAAAGAGTGAGGGAGAAATTAAGTTGTTCTCGGATAAATAAAAGCTGAAGGAGTTCATGATCTAAAAACCTACAGTGTAAGAAATGCTCCAGAATCCTGTGGGTGAGATGAAAGGCCACAGGCAAAGCCGTCTGCACAAAGATCTCAAAAATGTTAGCACGTGGCCATTATAAAAGCTAGTGCCATTGTAACACTGGTTTATAACCACACTTTTTGTCTTCTACATGATTTAAGAAACTAATACATTTAAAGAAAAAAATTAGTTTAAAGCTAATGTTTGGTTTGTGACTCCTAATCTTGTTTTCTACGTAATTTAAGAGGCATTAAAAAAAATTATTAGTTTATGTTTTGGGGACACAATGTATAAAAATGGAGTTTTGTGACAGCAATGGACAGCTGTCAGGGAGCAGAGTTCCTGTATGTTAATGAACTTACAGAAGTAAGTCCCTCCTTATCAGTCATTACTTTAAATGTAAACGATTCAACACTGTAATCAACTACATGGTGTCTACGAGATCCAAAGACAAGAACAGACTGAAAGTAAAAGGATGGAAAAGATACTCCGTGCAAATAGTTATCAAGAGAGCAGAGGCAGCTATATTAATATCAGACAAAACAGACTTTAAATCAAGGAAAGTTTCCAGGAGATAAAGAGGGTTCAATACAGCAAGAAGATACAACAATTAAAAACATGCATGCATCTGACAGACCATTAAAATATATGAAGCAAAAACTGATGGAACTGAAGGAAGAAATAAACAGTTCTACAATAAAAGCTGGAGACTTCAATACCCTTCACAAAAATGGATAGAACAACCAGACAGAAGACAAATAGAGGACTTAACACAATAAACCAACGAATCTACTAGACAGGTATAAAACATTCTATCCAACAACAGAAAATACATTCTTCTCAAGTGCACATAGGACATTTCCCAGGATAGACCACGTGTAAGGCCATAAACGAACTCACCATAGATTTTAAAAGACAGACAATATACAAAGCATCTTCTCTGACCACAATGGGATGAATTCAGAAATGAATAACAAAAGGAAAACTAACAAAATCATGGGGAAATAACAAATGGCAGATTTACTAGACAAAAACAACTTTTAACAACACACTTTTAAACAATCAATGGATCAAAGAAGAAATCACAAGGGAAATTAGAAAACACTTAACAGATGAATGAAAATGAAAACACAACATACCAAAACCTATGGGACACAGTGAAAAGTAGTGCTAAGGGGGGAAATTTATAGCTATTAATGCTTACATTAAGAAACAAGACTTGTAATAACCAATAATGGGAAAGAATCTGAAAAGGAATATGTATCTATATATACATATTACTGAATCACTTTGTTACACACCTGAATCTAATACAACACTGTAAATCAACTATACTTCAATAAAAAGTTGTTTGTTCTGGGGGAAAGAAAGTTGTTATTAATAAGGTGCATTTTAAAACAAGCAAACAAAAAGAGACAAGAAAGGTATCAAATCAACAATCTAACTTTACAACTTAAGGAACCAGAAAAAGAAGAACTAACCCTAAAGCTAGTAGAATCAAGGGTATAATAAAGGTTAGAGCAGAGATGAACAAAACAGAGGATAAACATGGTTACAGGTCTGTTCAGGTTTTCTGTTTCTTTGTGATTTAGACTGTAAGTGTTTTGTTTCTAGGGATTTGCCCATTTCATCTAAGTTGAAAGACACTATCCATAGAGTAAAAAGGTAACCCAGAGAACAGGAGAAAATATTTGGAAATTATGTATCTGGTAAGGGATTAATATCCAGAACATACAGTGAACTCCTAAAACTCAACAACAACAAAAAAACAAGCAAATTGATTCAAAAATGGGTAAAGGACTTGAATACACATTTCAGCAAAGAAGATACACAGATGGCCAGAAAGTACGTGAAAAGATGCTCAACATCTTTAGTGAAGTGCAAATCAAAACTACAGCGAGACACCACCTCATACCCACTAGGGAATCAAAACACAAAATCAAGTGTTGGTGAGGATGTGGAGAAACTGGAAGCCTGTGTACTGCTGGTGGGAATATAAAAAGGTAACAGCCACTGTGAAAAACATTATGGTGGCTCCTCAAAAAATTCAACATAGTATTACCATATGGTCAATACTTCCAGGTCTGGGTATATAGGTGAAAGAACTAAAAGCAGGGTCTTGAAGAGATATCTGTACGCCCATGTTCAAAACAGCATTACTCACAACAGCTTAAATGGGGAAGCAACACAAGTATCTTCAACTGATGAAATAGTAAGCAAGATGGTGTATATACATACAATGGAGTATTAGTCAGCCTTAAAAAGCTACAGCATGGCTGAACCTTGAAGACATTATGCTAAGTGACTTAAGTAAGCCAGTCACAAAAAGACAAATGCTTTGTATGGTTCCACTTACATGAGGTACTCAGAGCAGTCAAAGTCAGAGACAAAGTAGAATGGTGTCCGTGGTAGAGAGGGAAGTGTGGAGTCACTGTTTAATGGGTACAGAGTTACAGTTTTATAAGATGAAAAGAGTTCTGGAGATGTACGGTAGTGATGGTTGCACAACAATGTGAATGCGTTTACCACCACCGAACCGTGCACTTCAAGACGCTAAATTTTATGTTAAGTGTATTTCACCACCCCCACACACAAATTTTTCTTTTAAACAACACTAGCTCCAGGTAACTTCCTCTGTGTACTGCAGACGTAGTCTGTTCATGGGAAGCTACATAACAAAAAATAGCCTGTGAGGGAAAAAAAAGCCTGGCACTTAACTCCAAGAAGTAGTCAGCCCTGCTACTTGCAAATAAGACTTCTGTTTGGAATATTATAATGTTCCCAACGTGGATCTGTCTCTCAGCTTCCGGTAGGAGCCCTTACCTCAGACTAAGGTGGGATGAGCATGCAAGCCAATCTGAACTGAAGCAGGACAGAAAAATGACAGAAGAAACCCCACAGATAACTGCCCTCTTCTGGGGAAGACAGAGAAGCACCTGTCCCCCCTCCCCAGCCTGGTTACTCAGGAGAGATCAGTGTTGATGCCACTAGACAGTGACTCTGAGGGAAGGGCTCTGTTGGACTGGCACAGAAGCAGCACCCAAATGTCTCTTTGCCGCAAGAACATTCCACCATGGGCCCTCACCTGGCCTGCATCCAGCCTTTGGGCCAGAGAGGTTTGACCTCAGCATCCAGAAACGCCTTCACGTAGTCCTCCCAGGACTGGGCCTTGCTCCTCTCCAGGTCATAGCTCTCCAGCTTGATCTTCACCACCTGACAGAGCAGCTCCCTGAGGAGTGGGCAGAAGTCAGAAACTGCAAACTATGCCGAAAGTTTCTTCAAGGTTTCAATCCTGTGCTTTCAGCAGCCCTGACTGAAGTAAATGACTCTAACCTTCATTAGAAATACTCAGACCTTGGCCCCACACGCCCTCCCCTGAGGCAAGCTCCCAGTTTGGGCACACCTGATTTCATCGTTCCACTGGAACTTCTTCCGGGGCCCCATTATCCTCCTGCCCCCCTTTTCTTCATCTTCTTCCTCATCAGAACAAACCCGTTCTCTCTGCTCCTTGTCTTTCTCCTCTTCCAGCATCCTAGTGGGCGGACAGAATTAAGTAGGACCCTTAGGTCACCACAGAGCTGCTTCCTCCTGCCCCCAACTCCTGCCCCTCCCCATTCCGGCCTCAGGACTTCTAAGAAAAGGAGGTGAGAATGCTGAAGGGAGCCATGGGACACACTTACTTAGCGACCTTGGCTTGCGTGTGTGCCTGGCATTCATCCTGGTACTTGGCCATCTGCTCTGGCATCGCCCTGCCAATGGCTTCCTTAAGCTTCTGGAGAGGCTCCTTCAGACGCCCCCCCTATGCAGAAAGCGGGACATATCACAAGTCTGGTTTATGCATCACATTTTTTGTTTTTGTTTCAAGCTTTTTTTTTAAATTTATGCATTTATTTTACAACACCATATTTTTAAAGCTGACCTATAGTTGATGTACAATATTATACGTTACAGGAATACAATATAGTGATTCACAAATTTTTAAATGTTATACTCTATTTATAGTTATTATCAAATATTGGCTATATTCCCCATGTTATACAGTACATCCTTGTAGCTTATTTTTTTAAAATATATTTTTACTGAAGTATAGTCAGTTTACAATGTTGTGTCAATTTCTGGTGTACAGCACAGTATTTCAGTCATACATGAACATACATGTATTTGTGTTCATATTCTTTTTCAACATCAGTTACTACAAAATATTGAATATGGTTCCCTTTGCCATACAGTATAAACTTGTTGTTTATCTATTTTATGTATATTAGTTAGTATCTGCAAATCTCGAACTCCCAATTTATCCCTTCCCACCCCTCCTTGGAGCTTTGTTTCTTTAAGCCTTTTTTTCTGTTTTTAATGGAGGTACTGGGGATCGAACCAGGGACCTCATGCATGCTGAGGATGCGCCCCACCACTGAGCTGTGCCCCCACTCCTTGTAGCTGATTTTATACCTGATAGTGTGTACCTCTTAACTTCCACCTCCATCTTGTCCCTCCCCCTCCCCTCCCCACTGGTAACTAATTCCTTCTCTATGTCTGTGAGTCTGCTTCTTTTCTGTTATATTCACTAGTTTGTTGTATTTTTTTAGATTCCACATGTAAGTGATATCTTACAGTATTTGTCTTTCTCTGTCTGATTTATTTCACTTAGCACAATGCCCTCCAAGTCCATCCATGCTGTACACCAGAAACTAACACATTTAAAATCAACTTACTTCAATTAAAAAGCAAACACAGAATCAACCAACCCATTTAAAATATGGGCAGAAGAACTGAGCAGACATTTTTCCAAAAGAGGACATGCAGATGGCCAACAGGAACATGAAAAGCTGCTCAACATCACTAATAGCAGGGAAATGCAAATCAAAATCATGAGACACCATTTCACACCTGTCAGAATAGCCATCATCAAAAAGAGAACCAATAACAAATGTTTGGGATGATGTGGAGAAAAGGGAACCCTTTACACTGCTGGTGGGAATGTAAATTGGTGCAGCCATTATGGAAAACAATATGGAGGTTTCTCAAAAATCTAAAAACAGAACCACCATATGGCCCAGCAATTCCACTCCTGGGCAGATATCTGAGAAAAACAAAAATGTTAATTCAAAAAGATACATACACCCTGCTATTAACAGCAGCATTATTTATAATTGCCAGGACTTGGAAGCATCCTAAGTTACACATCTCTTCTTAGACTGAAGACACATGACAGGAATCATTGCAGGAGGCAGTGCAGCAGCACAGCTGGCACCTGCCCGAAGCCAGGGGCTCCACAGCAAAGTCACCCACCTGTTCACAGAGGTGCAGTTTTCGCGCGCGTTTGACCAGGGTGTCCTTGCTGCACGGCAGGAAGGAAGCAAGGTAGGCGTACACCCCAGAACGAGTCTGGCTGCTCAGCTCCCGGGTCTGTGCCTCTATGCTGAAGAACAGAGCAGAGTTACTTCAGCTCCTCTCGTCATCAGGGCGCCCCACAACGGAGGGGAAAGCTGGCAGCCAAGAGCAGGTCAAACCTTCTCTCGCTGGTCACACAGCGTAACTGAGCGGCCAATCAACAGACCTCCAGCAGTGACCAAACTCAATGAACTTGGCTAAAGTGGATCAAGACTCTGAGGTCAAAGGCAAGACCAAGTCAAAAGTAGCTGAGAAAACAAGCTCTGAAGCCCCGAGTTTCATAAACAAAGAAAATGTAAAAACCTTCTGAAGTGGAAAGTAATCAAGTTACTTGGAGCCAACAGGAAATACTTTCTAGCAGAGTTTCCGTTTTCCTAGTTCCCAGTTCTACCCGTGTTTAGGTGGTCAGTGAGATCCCCATGCCTCCTGCGTCCCCCTCTCCACGAGCAGAGCTCTGTGTGTCACCAGTCCCCCGAGCCCTCTACACTTGGCACGCTCCAGCAGACACTGTGGACACAACCCTCTCTCTCATCTGCGCCGACTCTCGGGGGCTCTCTACAGCCCAGGCTTCCTGACCCAAGTGTCCAATCCCCATCCTGGCCAGGCAAAGATCTTTGCTAGAATATTCCCTAGCCTCGACAAGTACATGTGCAAAATCCTCAGCTGTTGAGCAGTAAGTTTCCTCTGCTACGTGACACAACCCGGAGAGAAGCTGCCAAAGTTGGAGGGCCAGATACAAAGGATCTGGTTTGGGTTTATATGTGTGGGTTTTCCTTTTTCCTTTTTTCTGCTTTTTAATCCAATTCATACAATGTGGTATCTCAGAGGTTTGGGTGTTTGGGAGAAGTGCTGTAGGATGATGACCTCTGGCCTTGGGAGCAAAACTGTGAACAAGAAGAGAAGGACCAGGTATGCAGAGGAGAGCCCCAGGAGGGCAGGGCCCTTGCTTGCACCAAGCTGTCTCTTACTTTCCTCAGAGACGGGCAAGCAACACCTCTCTCCTCTCATTTCATGCTTACACTTCCCACGGAGTCCTCCTCCAACGTGCCATGACCATTATACATACAGCGTTCTAATAACGTCTGCTGCCTAAGATCAGTAAGGTCTGTCGTGCCCTGGAGACAAACATTTGGTGTCCTCTGCCCCCAGCCTTTTTTAAAAGAATAAAACAATAAAAACCAATTTTTTAAATCTCATCAGCGTTTTTTAATCTCACAGTAGTTCAAGTGTACTCCCACTTTCCCCTGGCCTGCTGAACCCAGCATGTTAACAGCAGATACAAAGAAACAAAAGATACTCACTCTAAGAGGACGCCATTAACATCCTGGGTGAAGAACTTCTGTCTGCTCTCCCCCTCAGCAGCTCTGGCAGCCTGGTTCACAGCAGACAGTAACATCTGTTAGTGCGCTTCCCCACGGCCCGCACACTCACCCATAGGCACAAAAGCCGTCAGAACACCTGCTGATAAAATCTCACCACGCTCTTCCTCCCCTACTCAGCCCTAGCGCAGATTAAGTTCACCTAATAACTACGTGATCCTGAAATGGTATATACCCAGCTCTCTTCACATGCTGCTGAAGCATCTATGGATGGTCCCTTCTTCCCAGGACTTGAAACAGCAGTCACATAAAAGAAAATCAGAGTCAAGGCAATCATGAAGCATCTGGTGCAGCCAGCTAGCTAACTCCTGTGCCCAGCACTCACTTCATCATATAAACTGTCATGAGTTGGAATCTATGTATCTACAGTACAAAACAACCAAGAACGTTAACAAACATGTAAGATTTGAAGGCCTTTATCCATCAAAATAACAACAAGTAATATGCTGCTTTAGCATTTAAGGACTGTAATTCTTTTTAAATTCATAATCCACTTACAGTATATTACAAATTCTACTACTCAGACTACTGGAATGACTAACATACCTGACTACCTGTTAACACAAGATAGAGCAGGTTATACTATGCAGTGTTTTGTTTCCCACGAGTACACAGTTAACACCCGGGATTGCAAGGTTGGCGACCTCTACAGCAACCACCATAGGCACGATGCACAAGGGAGGAAAGCAAACTGCAAAAGTCTGAACCAGTGGTTCTCTCTTTGGCTGCACACTGGAAGCACCTGGCAGCTTTCCCCACTTTAGACCCATCACATCAGAATCTCTGGGGATTACTATTTTCTTTAAAGAGGCCCAAGTGTCAGTACTCTTTAAAAGTGAAACCTAATGCTGCACACCAGAAATTGACCCAACACTGTAAACTGGCTATACTTCAATTTAAAAAAAAAAAAAGTAACTCTGGTAACTGGCATGCAGAGGATCGAGAACCACTGATCTAAATCTAAGAGATGCTGGACCAAAGGCTTTAGGCAAAATAAAATTTCAGGCTTGATATATAATAATGATGGCAAACAAAGACATTAAGGTGACTGAAACAAAATGATTAACCCTGATCAACTCGCTGAAGCAGCAGACACTGACAGCCACCCCACGTGCCTTCCTCTCATGGCATCCTCTGGGTCCTCTGCTGACCTCTGACTCCATCCTGTCTCCTCCACTAGCTCCTTAGCTGCAGGTGGACTGTAAGGTTCTATCTAGAACCCTCTTCACATAAAAGCATCTCCCCCTCAGCCTCAAAATAACACAAATGCATGTAGGTCTCTCAAATCTAAACCTCTACCCTATACCCTTTTTTCTAAGCTCTGGATCAGAACTTCCAATTACTTCTACGAATGAATGAATGACTGACCCTCTGGTTTGCAAACTCAACTTGCCCAAAACCAAAGCCACTAGCTCCTGCTCTTCCTCCTGTGTTCCTACTTCTCATAACAGTACTCCTTCCCTCTTAAATCCATTCAATCTTTTCTAAGCCCTTCAGCAGCTCTTCCCAAGCAGAGAATCAACCCAAACTCCTCTACCTGGCATTTAGGGTCCTCTAGGTCCTGGCCCCAGCCATCCACTCCAGCCCGCATCTCCCACATAACCAGGGGTCCCTGTTATCCACCAACTCGCCCATAGTCAGCTCTGTGCCCTGGCTTCTACAGGCCATCTTTCCCAGGAGGCTGGCCAAGCCTGTTGCCTCCAATTTGATTCTCATTCCTCCCTGAGTCTGACTGTCCACCTGGCTACCCAGCGGGCCACCCAAACATCACAGAGCTTATTTCATCCTGCTCTGTCCCACAGTCAGGTGTGGTCCATCTGTACAAGCTCATGAAGAACAAGAAGTGAATGTTACCCATCAATACATTCCCCACCACTGCCTACTAACAAATGTCAGCTGAATGGATAAATGAACAGATACCACTGAAAAAATGAAAACTAGAGGAGGAAAAGCTTAGTACCAAACAAAACCTGCAGAGGATACGCAAAACTCAAATTCCTGCAGATCCCTCAGCTAGAGGCAAGCACAGAGGCCTGAGATGACAGGGGGTGAAATGGACAGATGGAAAGGGAACAAAGAAAGGGCATCATTGTAACCCCTTCACCTGCCACTTCCTACAGTCAGAGGATATGGAATTCCACTGGGGCACCCTTAATGTATGGGGATTATGATTTTTGTTGTGATGAGAAAACAAAACTGAGTCATTCTTTCACTTGAGCTTACACACTGCTAGTTATAAGATGCAGAAGCACCTCCATGTTAATTAAATCTAATTAATACATATTTCAAATTCCTCACTGTCAGACCTGTCAACAGCTTAGGTTTCCAATCAAATTTTATCTTTAGGTATCAGCCATTTCAGAAGCTTTCTAGCTATATAATTTTTTAAAGTTTGTTTTTTCTTGATGCCTTTTGAAATGTGTGTGTGTGTGCGGTTTTTTTTTTTCCTGATGCCTACTGAATCATGCAGACCAGTAACTCTGAGGACCTGGTTTCATAATGAAAATAATTAGTCAAGTGCTGCATTTTTAAATAAATCTAATTAAAGGATATATTTTTGATAGTCTTTCAGAAAGAAGTGAGATCTCTCAACCCTAAAGAGACGCACCTTTGCCCAAAGAGTTACATGAATCAATCAATCCTAAATTAACCAGGATATGACATTAAACCAAACCATGCTGACCAGATCATGCTGATTTACAACAGTCCCAGTAGCCTTCTGATGAGCTGTTGCATTCATCATAAGCAGCCACGTGTAGGCTTTCAGCACCTAGATCACAACCTTACACTGTACCTGTTTTTGCCTAAATAGAATGAAATCTGGCATGACTTTCTTTTTCAAAAAGACCAAACAAGTTGGGGTTTTTTTCTACCTTATTCTCCTTGGATCCATGTCTCCCTGGTTTTGCAATATAGGGTTCTAACTGTAAAGGAGGGTAAGCAGTGAGCAGGTAGAGGGGTGGGTGACGCTGGATGTTTCTTTTCTGTCTTTAGTATCATTTCCACTTTATGTCTGACTAAAGAGGAGCAAAACAGGCCTGGGTCATCTGTATGGAGCAGGCTGAGTAGCTGCCACAACAACAGCAACCTGAAGGGGTGACATACCTGAGCTTTCCAACAACCGAGACAAAAGGCACAAAAGACACAATCAACACACATTAAAAGAAGATAAAGAGGGAAAGGCCATCAAATCAAAGCACCGGGTTGCCTGGGGCCCATAAAAATGTGCACCATGAGGAAGCAAGAAGTGGAAGAGGGGCTTAACCTGAGAAGAGAACAGTACACACTGCTGGGGCACCCAAGGTTGCTCTCTCAGAGCACCTCTTTAATGTATGGAAGTTTTCAAATATATTTTTAAGTTTTAAGCATCACATCTAGTTAGAAGATAAATCTAATTTTTGCTTCCCACAGCAAAACTCTTTCCCTGAGAGATCAATACACATCAGACTAGAATCCGCTTAAGGAATGTGGCGGACTGCAAACAGGACCACAGACTCCTCCCCTCCCAGCACGTGCATTCCTGCAAGGAGAGGTGGCCTCTAGTTTCCCAGCCCTCAAATCTGGTTTGCACTGGGGACTCATTTACCAATACAGAGTGGCAGAAGCGAGTGGTACACACTACTTCCAAGGCTAGATCATGAGGGCCTTACAGCTTCCACCTTCGCCCTCTTGAAATGTTGCCCTGAGACCGTCATGCTCTGAAAAGACCCAGGATGAAAGACAGGAGGAGAGAGAGGCCGTCCCATCCTGGTGGTCCCAGTGCCCAGCCATCTTGCCAGCTGAATGCAGCCCCAAGAGAGAGCCCAAGCAGGACCAGAAAACAAACCACCTGGCCAACCCACAGAGTCAGGATAAACGAGGTGCTGTGTGAAGCCACCAAGTTGAGGGGGCAGGGAGGCACAGTTTAGACAGCAGTAAAAACTGATACGTGTATCATCTAGGGCCAAGACTTAAAATCTAAACTATTACAAAAATAAAGGAAATAAGATGGAAAAACAGAAAGAGAAGAGGAGTGAAAAACAAAGTGAGAAACACATAAACACTGCTAATGTTATAGTTATATACATCAAGTTTAATTTAAATATTAAAAATGCAATGAAATGTCCAGTTCAAGATCTAGGACAGGGATTCTTATCGAGGATCCAAACATCCACGCATGGCTTTTGAAATCATATGCAATTTTGTGTACACAGGCATTTCTTTCCCTGGGAGGGTTATCTTTCCCAGCAGATTCTCAATAGGGCGGGGTCTGCCCTAGAGCCCTCGTGCACACTATGCGGGAGGCTCCAGGTGCCCCAAGTGCAGGGCCCTGGTGGGAACGGAGCAGCTGGGGATCCTTTGGAGTGTCATTAAGTAAATTTCTAAAATAAGCCTTCTTTTTCATGCAACCATTAAAAGTAATGAGGGCTTTACAATAATATTTATTAAGTGAAAAAAGCAGGAAACAATTATTCACAACTATAATTACAACTGCATAAAAATATATACACAGAGGCTAAAAATGAATATGTAAAGTGAAAATAGTTTTCTGATTGGCGGGGTGATAGGTAATACCCATTTGCTACCCCATTTCTCGAGTTTCTTCATGCTGTTTACAGGAGAAGGGCCTGTAAGGTGATGACTATCAATTTCACACTTGAACATTACTTTCAAGCCAAAACAGCAATGTCTGCTGGTCACCACCTCCTCACCAGGCCCCAAGTCTACCTTACCTGTGGGATCCTGAACCCAGTCCCCATCATGCCCAAGAGACAACCAAGACTCGGCAATCGCTGAGGAAGGACAGCTTGCTCAGTGTCCCTAAAAGGACTCCAGAAAGTGGAGATTTTCTGGACTCACCACCCTATGCCCTTTCACATTAAGCAACTTTGTTTCCACTAGATTTGTCCATCTTTCTCAAGACAAAGAAATGAGACTAAGTTATCAAACTAGAACACAACCTTTGGTGGGAACAGGGACACCTCCAAGAATTGTTTTTGTCTTTTCTCTAAAAAACCGGATGGCTCCTGCCACACATACCTCACTTAGCTCACTCAACAAGGCTTTCAGAAGCTACAAAACAATCTGATTACAAACGGAGCAGTGAGAAGAACAAGGAGTAATGTTTTTCAACATAAATTCTGAGAGCAAGTACAGGACAGTATGCTCAAATGTGCCAAGTTCAGATTAAACTACTTCCACCTTAGTGTCCTGTTCAGACACACTCTGAATCCTGACAGGGCATAATTCATTTAAATTGTCACATCCAAATAGAATGCTGTGCACGTTCTCCGAGGATGGACTAGAGATCTGAGTTAAGACGTCTCATTTAACTCGTGCTGTGTTCACGTATTTTGGGGAAGTGAGAAAATCACTTGTAGCAGTGGTTAACATTTTGCCCTGCGCTAAAACACAAGAGATACTATATGCAACAGTGACTCTGAAACACTATGAGAATCACTGGTTTAAAACTTGAGCTACAGGGTATACGTGCCTCCCTCAGAGCTGTGTCACAAGTCATGGTGTCTAAGGTAAAATGTTATTTTAACTAAGAGGTAACTGTCATCATAATGAATGACCTGTGCTTGGTTCAGAGTCAGTATCTGTGTATTACTGAATTGACAGCCCCCAGAGGAGGGGAACACAGGAGCAATGTCTGCTATATTCCGAAGGCTGTCATTGTTTTTAATGGGGCATGGACAGCGTTTATGGTTCAGCTCCCTTTTATTTATCACAATTTAGTATTTCTATAATCACTACCTGACACTGGTTGGTGATGTGCAAATCCAGGGAGCAACTAAACCCAGTGACAATTAAGTATATGCCCCGTACCTATGTAACATATGCCTGCAAACTTCTATGAATTTTCAAAACCTTCAAAAGATTACTGAAAAGATGGATCTCTGCCTCAGCTGCCTGCTGCCAACATTGAGTGTCCATCTATCACACAAAAGGAAATATACTCTGACAGGCAGAGAGTGGAAAGAGAAAATCTCTCCAGAAGAAAGTAAGCTTTGCAGGACTGAAGGATCCATGAATGGCCTAGAAATATGCCTGACAGGCAGAGCTTACCCTGTTGCCTCACTAGGGATGAGAAGAGAGCTTGGGAGAGCTGACATTGGAGCTGCCCACTCACTAAGGGGTGCTCTGGGCTGTGAGCTTCAAGTGGTTCAGGACCAACATCGATCGGCCCAAACCGTTTCCAGGAGAGCCCGGCCACTCTGTCACCATACCTGAGCCAGCTCCTTAACGCGCTTCTCCAGGGGCGCAGGCAGGCCTTCGGGAAGGGAAGAGGGCTGCCTGAATTCCTGGTCCAGTCCCACCCCAAGGGAATCGCTTTCATCATCCATATCACGGAAAGGGCTTCCTTCTGGAGACTCACTGAGCAGCTGCTCCAAGTCCAAGTCAGTCAGTGCGTCCATGGCAGTGGCTGCCTGGAGCAAGTCGTTGTCAGAAGTAGAGCCAAAGAGTGAGAGCAAGGGGTCAGAGGTGCCCTCCAGTTCCCGCAGGCCCTGAGCTTCCGCTGCTGAGACCGCTACAGGCTTGTGCTCTTCGTCCCTCTTTCTCTGAGCCTCTTTCTCCTTCTGAAATTTCTTCAGCATCTCTTTAACACTCAAGGCCCCAGAATACTTCTTTTTCTTCTTCTCCTTACTGGCATTGAGGGCTGTGAAGCTGCAAGCAAAGGAGAAACTGGTTACTAAGTACCCCTGAAAAGGGAAATGCACAGAGGGACTTCAGCCCTGCTCCCAACGCAATGGTCTGGGAACCTCAGTCACAAGTCCACCCTGTTACTCCTCCTCCCTCTTCTTGGCATGTGGAGCTCCTTCTTGCTGAGACCAAAGCTTGAGATTTAATACAGGTTAGCAAAACAGTGTTATAAAACGCTACATATCCGATGGGTTTTTAAAAACCACAGCCAGGCTGAAATAAAAGCGGGGGCAAGAAAGACATTTCAAGGGAGAAAGCGGAGCAGAAGAGAGCGGCAGAAGAGAGCGGCAGCAGCTTGAAGGGCACCTGGGCTGAGACTGAGTGGGGCAGCAGAAGCAGGACCAGAGAAGACACAGGGGAGCACAGAGGAGAACTGGGGCAGAGGAGGGGTGTCCAAGAGAACAAGAAACATCGACAATCACAGTGACAGAAATAGCTGCCAGCACTAACAGTGGGACAGAGAGGACTCAGATGTCTGACACAGAGACGTGAGACTACTGGCCGCCCACATGGCACTGTGGGAGGTGTGAGGGGGACGGAAGGCCAGGCCCTGCTGCCTCTTCTGAAGCTGTGAGGAGGAGGGCGAGTCAGCTCCCAGGTGTCCTGCCCTAACAGTTCAGATTTCATCCTAGCAAAGAAGCTGCTGCCTCTCACCCGGCTTTGGAAAACTTGGACTTTTTCGATTTCTTCTCCTTGTCATAAGTGTCATCTTTTTTCTTCTTCTTTATCTTCTCACCACCTTCCTTCAACTTCCGCTTCTGAGAATTAAAGACAAGGCACAGTTACACGGCTCCCTAACTCTGGGAGCAAGTGCACTACACAGCACTGGCCTTGCTCCGCCCAGGGTACATCCTGAGAGCTGTCTTACTTCCTTCAGGAACAAAAGCTTTCAGATCGGGCCTTGGACCACAGACCTGCAGGTCAGTGCAGCATCCCCACTGACAGTGGCTCCTGGGAACACCTGGGCCTCAGGCGACAGAGGCTGCAGCCTGAACTGTTTCTGGTTTAAAATGAGCTGTATGAGGGCCTACCTCGAGTTTAAACACACCGGCAGTGGCAGATAGATTTCAAAATAAACTTATCTTAAACTTAACTTGTTTTCGTTGGGGTGACAACCCTGGGAACTGAAGTCCTCTACGTGTCTGCAGAAAAGGCTGGTGCAAACTCCCCTCACTCCACACCCTTCACTGCCCTCGTCCCCGCCCTGGGACCAACTCAAGAACAAATCCCTGCCGAGCCTGCTGGGACACAAGTGTGGATATAATGATTGAGATCTCCAGGTTCACGGCACCTCGCCATGGCACACGTGTGAGAACGGAACTGCCAACCTCGGCACGGCTCATGCCTTTCTGCCAATTTCCTGAGCCATCCTAAATCAGCACGTATCTGGCAAGTCCCCTACAGATCTTATAAGGTCACAAAATAAAGCACTTCTGAAATCCCGAAGCGAGCAACATTCTAACCTTTGGAGATTTTTTCTTCTTTTCTTTTATGAAGTCATCCTCAGATTCTGATGCTTGTCTAAACTGCAGGGTTCCCGAATTAATGTAAAATCCTCCATACTTTGTAGTCAAAGAAGCAGGAACAAGCTCATCATACTGAAGGGGGGAAACAAACGGTCAGCTCCAGGGTCTGGCACTACCATCCAAAGGTGCAGAGCTCGTCTTGACAGAGCAGCCGTGACTATGTCTCTCCATCACATTTCAGACGGCATGCTCAGATATGCTTCTGGTCTATCACTAATGTCCAAGTTAGATGGTGTTTTGGACAAATCTGATCACCATTTTCAGAGCGGGAGCCAAGGCCCAGATCAAGGTGTCACTTCCTCTCCCGTCAGTGAGGCTGCTTCCTCGAGCTAAGGGCAGGTCCACTCTGACTCCACCCCCAGCCTCCAGGCACTGTCGGCCGGCGGTCGCAGTGGTTCCCACTGGGCATCTTCATGAACTACTTACCGCCTCAGAGTTATCGATGAAGGAATCGGACTCATCATAACCATAACCCATATCAATCAAGTCTTGTATTCGGTCTTTTCTACGTTTCTTTCCACCCTAAAATTGAAAACAGATCATATGCTTCTTTTTTCTTGTAGTTATGGTAAGACTACCAAGCATGAGCTCTAGGTATTGCTACCATAGTTACCCTTTTAACAAATTTCTAAGTCTAAGGACACAGGCTTCTTTCAATACACAGAATTAATTGTTGCCTTGAACTCCATCAGCTAGTGACTGAAGGGTGTAAAGCACTGGAACAAGCTCATACTCCACCCCCTCCCAAAACCTCCTTCCTTGAAGACCTTTTAAAATCGAACAGAGCTGTAAATAGTGAGAATAAAGTGGCCTAAGACAGAAGAAAGAACTAAATGGCTTCATATGCTCTGTATTAAAACATTTATTCTCAGAATAAATTCTAAGGGTAAAAGCCCTTCTCATTTATTCATCCACTTAGCTCCACACACGAGCTGCTCCTGCATGGGTTTTTGTACCTTAATGTATTTGTTTAATAATTACATTCTGTCCTCTCCAAGCTCTACACTTGTTTCCACATCAGTGTTGATTAGATGATAAACCACTAAAGGAATATGGAAACGTTTGTAAATCTCCCCCACTCAACAAGGTTAAGTTCTGTTGTCCAAGAGAGCAATCTTACATATTTTTCTTCAAATTTCCGGGCAAGGGCCTCCACTTTATGCCTTTCCTTTTCTTCATCATTGAAAGGATCTGAGAAATCTTTCTTCTGTAAAGAGACCATTCCCACAAAAATAATAGTCACAAAAGAATTCCCATAATGCTATTCACAGTACCTTCACTGACTACTCAACACCTATAAACTGCATAATAAAAACTGTTTTTCAAAAAAAGACAAAGTAGAAATATGCTACCTTCCCATCAGTGTTTACCTTACTTGTTTAAGAAAGTAAAATTTCCATCCATGAGATTCAACAGAACGTGATTAAAGCCCACCATCGCCCACTGTCGCGCCAGGTCCTGCAGAGCCCCAGACAGGGCAAAGGGCCTTCAGTCAGGAACGCTCAACCCACGTAGACTGTGTTCCGTTATAACTCGTTTCCTCTGTAATCTTAAAAATTATCTTACGCATTTAAAAACATTATTCTAAGAAGGGGTCCATAGGCTTCACCAGATTTCCAAAGCAGTCAATGGCTCAAAAAGATTAAGAACCCACAGAACGTAGTGTAAGTTGTTGAGAAATATTCTGCCTTATTGGTTAGAAGAGTGGTATGAACTTGCACCTCCCTCAGTGCTACCAAAAGTCACACCCAATTTCATAGCATTGCCTTTCCTTAGAAGGTAAACAGAAGGAGCAATAGAAGGATCAATAATCTCTTCCCTTTCACTCTTAATACTCACTCCAGATACTTTCATGCAGTTTTCCAAAGTTTATTGATACTCTATAAACCGACTCTTGCATTTTTATAGAGTAAATTTTCCAGAGTTGGATCTTAAGCTTCTTTGGCATGGAATCTTAACAAAAGACTCCTGTATCAAACACACTTAAGACTTTGGAGTAGTCTAAAAAATATTGGATGTTTGTTTGAAAACAAAATTCTCTCATCCCACACTTCCATCTCTGCCTACTGAAATCTCACTCAACCATAAAGGATCAGTGAAATGCTTTAGGGTATACATGTAGAATGGAATGCTATACAATGTACATACTATAAATGGTTGGTCTTTAAAACAGCTCGTCTGTATATTCTAATTTCTCTACAATGATTGCATATAATCTAAGTGGTTCAAATAATTTTAGGAAATTCCACCAATCTGGAATAGCACTGGATAATGTGCATTCCTTAATGCTCTGTGAACAGTAGTCATCCACTATATCCTGAGAGTATGAGGATCCACTTCTGCCAACACAGCATCAAGAACGTGAGCTTTCTCTGTCCAAGCCCTCCAGGACCCACATTTCTACCAGACTTAAACAATTACCACGCTGTAACTCCTGTTACCTGTGTTGTATAATTCTCCTAAAACATCTACAAGATCGCAGAGTTCCTTTGAGGCTGGCACGGCAGCTTCACCACCTTTATACAGTCCTCAGCACAGAGCCTTCACATTGTGAGAAAGACATGCTTAATGAGTTAATACATGAATGTGTCAGATTACATTGTGCTTTGAACACTGCAGAGTAGACATGATGAGCCAGGAGTTCTGAACCTGAAAGCCAGGAGTGAATCCCCTGAAACTGGATCCAAAGTATTCTGTGTAGGCCCCATGCATTTTTCTGAAATCAAGGAGGGCATCTGAACCCCAAAACTGGTGAAATCAGAGCACTGGGGTTCTAATTTCAATTAATCTACTGATTTGGTTTGAGCCCATAAATAAGCACTTTAACCCATCTCTGCTACTTCCTCTTCCTCTCAAGAAAGAAGATACTATTCCTACTTTGGAAAAGCATTTGTGAGTGGATCTGAAATGTCTTTTTCTCACCCCGCCCACTGGCCATCATACAACAGGCTGACCCTTGGCACAGACTCATTTGGCTTCCATTCAGCCAATCAGATCTTTATCAAGGAAACACATTTTTATCTGAATAAAGAAAAGTGTATAATCCTTCTAACCAAAGGCACTCACCCCACACAGCACACTCATGGATTAGACTGAAGGAGCACTGGCCACTGAGGCAATCTGCCGGAAACTGCACCTGCGTGAGCTCATCGACCCTCAGACATGCTGCGAGCCAAGTACTCGTCTAATCCCACTGCACTAGGAGCCACTCTACAGGTAAAAATGCTGCAGGTGCAGGCCCTTACTAACCTTTCCCTCTGAGGCTAGCCTAGTGCATTTATATGAAATACAGTAACATGAAAAACTGATCTAAGCTGTTACAAATCAGGGCAGTGGTTACAACTGAGAGCCAAGGTAGTATTTTGGGAGGGCCGGAGGAGGGTTTCTGGTACCCTGGAAAATGCTGTATTTTGTAATCAAGGTGCAGGTTACATGACTGTGTGTTTGTGAAAATCCATCAAGTTGTGTATTTATCATACGTGCACTTTTCTTATGTATACAATTCAGTTAAAAAGTTTATAAAAAAATTTTTACAATGTTAATGAGTTGCTGAAACATCAGTAATAACTAAAGCCGGGTGATGGGTACCTGGGGGCTTATTATGCTGTTCTCCCTACTCTGTACCAGTTTGAGAAGTTCCACACTAAAAAAAGTAAAACCAATCTGCCAGGAAAATAAATAGATAATTTAAAACACATTTAAAGAATCAAACTGATTCTCAAAAGCCCTAAAGGCTACAATTCAATTCTGGTACCAAATAAAAAAAACAAAAAAAACTCCAAAAAACAAAACCCACAAAAATAGGTTTCTATTCATCCAGGTAAAGAAGCTATACAGATTACTGTGTTTAGATGAAATGAGCAGTCATGTCCTTTCTTGTCTGTCCTTATATTAGGCTGAGTGAGATTCCCTGAGAAGATCGAAATGCCCAGCATGAAACTCCAGCACCGAAAAGCCAGGGGCTGGGTCACATTTACACGTAACATTTATAGCCTTGGCATGAAAAATTTGTTGTTTATTCATATTAATCAGCCATAATTCAAATCACATATTTTCTCTAGCATAAAGCAGGAAAATGGTTCTAAAAAGAATTCTATCCCTTTCTGCCAGAGGCAAAACCCAGCAAACCTTGTGCCTGCTTTGTGCAGAAGGCCAAAGCCTCTCCAGCGTTGCTTCCTTCCACCCTCTGGAAGCCCCATTCGCACGCACTGCCCTGAGTGTTAGATCTGTGGAGTGAGCCTGGGGCCACTGGGACGTACCTTGTCTGTGGGCTGAAGTCCTTTCACCTTCCCTCGTAAGTTCTTCACCAGCTCTGGGTAGAAGAACTCTGGGCAGCGCTTATGATCCGGCTCAAAGAGGGTAAGTGTAATTCGAACGGCTGCTGCAGCCGGTTCGCAGTCCTGATGCTGCTCCGCTCCCCCAACCTCCTCTTTCCGGGATTTCTTCAAAAATGCAGGATTCAGAGAACCTGGGAGAGAGGTGAACTGGACCCTGTGGGGCTCCGACATGGCTACCAACAAGTCTTAGCAGGTGTCACTGCATGGCTTCTGTTAACATTGAAAAGAAGAGCCAGGTCAGAGCAAGATGGTAAAAATGACTTTTTTCTGTTCAGTTATACAGATTTAAGTCAAAAAGAATTTCACTGTCAAGAAGAATCATTATTAAATTTATCTTAATTACCATTTACTGATAAATACTATTTATCTTATACATAAAAATTTTCATATAGATATAAAAAGCACCCCAAATCCTATCATCCAGAGATAATCACTGTTTAGCATGCTTTCCAGTCTTTTTTCTATGCACATCCACTAGATCCTTGACATTAGAGAACCTATGCTGACAGAGTCTGAAAGAATCCTCAGAATTGCAAAGAATCCTCGAGAATATTGGGGTTTTTTTCTTTTAATTTATCCAACACCTTTTTTTTCTTCTTGCTGAGAATAATCTTTCTTAAAACTTCTTTATTTTCATTACCAGCAGTTTACTTTCATGTAGGGCCATTCTTCACAATGACAAAGTTTTTATCAGTTTACAGAGGTACTGCCTACTCAGGGGTAAGTAAGACCAGTGTCTCGGGGCTTCTGGGGCTCACTTCCTATAACACCAGCCTCTCACCACCCAAACTTGGGCCTCAGCAAAGTGACAAATTATCACACGCCAAAGACCTTCAAAGTTGCTTGGAAACGGTGAAAGTATATTGTGAACTCCAGAATTCCAAGGGTTTACAAAATAGAAATATGTAAATCACACTGTATGTACTGTGCGTGCTTCATATGTTAACTCGGTGTCCTGCCTTTTAAAACTCACATTCTATCACATCAATAAAAATATTATTTATAAACATTCTTCAATTTACAAAGAATTGTATGTCATTACAGTCTTGTTTATATATGAAAAATGACAGAAACAACCTGGAGTCCAGCATTAAGGGAATAGTTGAAAAATACAGCTTTTTTTATTGATTTGTAAGGGCTTTTAATATATTACAGATATGTAACATGGATGATAAATATGTAACACCTCTCATACCTCTTTTTTTTCTGCTTTGTTATTTACTGTTTAATTTTACATAGAGTGAGGTATGATGAAAGAAGAAATTTTAACTTTTTATGCAGTTAAAACTAGGCTCTTTTCCCTTATGGCTTCTTCCATTTCTTTTATGCCTAAAATCTCCTCCTCCAACCAAATAATTCTTGTAGAAGAGTTTATCCATTCTTATTTTACAGACACATTTTTCACATCGAACTCTTTAACCCAAGTTGAATTTACTGTAAGGTGAGAGGTGAGGCTCTAATCTGGTTTCTTCCCAGCATCAAAATCACCAAATAATCCCTCTTTTCCCTGCTGATTTGGCACAAGTCCTATATACCATAAGGTCTATTTCTGAAATCTATCCCACTATACCAATTCAGTATCTAGACTCCTTAACCAGTACAACATAATTTTGAAAAATTCTATGATTATATTTTAATAACTTAAAGATTCATCTTTATTCTTTTTCTTTTAAAAGTAATACCAGTAACACTTGGCTGTTCTAGTCTATTTATTATTTCATATCAATTTTAAAATAATTTTGACTAGTTCCCCCAAAAATCACACTATATTTTGATTATAAATGAATCATAAGTGTGAATTACTTCAGGAAGGTTTACATATGTTCTATATATCCACATACATTATGTGTATTCATATACAAGTAATATTGACTCTTCCTATTACAACCAGAAGATTTGTAATCTCTAAGACTAGGTAGGGGAATAAAATATCTAAAAATGAAGAGTTAATTCTAATTAGGAAGGAAAGCAACTGGCAGCAAAACAGGTTGGTGGTGCAAAAGACCATCATGCACTAATATGGCTAAAGAAATTCTCCTAAAAGAAATTTTCAAGGCCCCCAGACACATCTGTGATGCACTGGGTTGTGAAAATAAATGCCGGCTGAAAGGTGAAGGCATTTATAAAAGAAGGCGAAGTCTCACTATAAGAAGAGACTCTACAAGTTAACCAACCGATGGGATGCAGGAAGGTCATCTTGGAAGTGGACAATAGGTCCCTGCCCTGTTCAGGCAGTAATTTTAAAATGCAACCTTATCTTGGCCCAAATTTTAGATAGTGTAACTTCAATCCACCTAGATGGTAAAAATGCTTCTCTCGGTTGTGTGAGTGACTTTGCAGGCCTGAGAAATTATAGAAATAAAGGCTAGAAAACAAGTAAATCAAACCTATAGCATATTAACACTTAGATTTTGAATTAAGTTTTATAGTCATCATGATAATTGCGGTTGACTGGCACTAAGTCATTTGAAACATTTGAGAGAATCAGACATATTAGTGAATATTACTTACAATGCTTAAGTAAATATAACTAAATTTGAAAGTGTGCTTTTAAAAGACCTAACATTTACATATTTATCAGACTTAACAAGAGTTAAGTTCATGGAAAGATTTTACTTTAAAGTTTACAAGTTCACTGTTTTAGAATTTTGAAGTATTTGAGAGAACAAGCATATAAACTTTAAATGCATGTTAAAATATTTAAGGGAATTAAATTTCATAAAAAGAGTTCATCGTTTAGGGGAATTTAATCTGTTAAACTGATGCCTTAATTGAAATTGTCAAAAATCAAATATATTAATTTTATGTAAACATTCTTAGATTTATAAATAAAACAAGGTTTGTCAATAAAGCTAAAAAAGCTTTAAAAAGCTAAGCATTTAAATACTCAATTTTAATGAGCTGAACACTATTCTAAATAAAAGCACAGTATTCTACAAACAAAAGCATCCTACGTAAAAAACTTAAACCGATGTTATCCAAGAAATACTAGCCTCCTGTTGTATGTCAGATTATTCCCAGGAGTGGTATTTGTTTGTTGTTATGCACCCTCCTTATCATATTTTCAAACTGGTGAAATGTAGGAACACTAACAATTTTATATGCTGATTTTGTAATTAGTCTCTTCAATAAACTCTTACTTTAATAGTTTTCTCTTACCTTTTTCAAAATAGTCTGTCTTATTATCCACAGAAATGAGAATTTTGCCCCTCCCTTATGAAAAATTATGTTTTATTTTTGTTTCATAGCCTATTACATTGGCTAGAACTACCAAAATAATAATCAGACAATATATTCTTTGCCATGTTCCTGACTAACGGGAACGTCCCCAGGTCCAGTGTGATGTTGATTTAAGATTCATATATTTTATGAAACCCTTAAAATACCTTTTAATTTCTCAAAAATAAAGAGTTTTTAAGTTAGGACAGTGTGTTGAATTTGATTATTTCCTGGAAACTTAAATATGCTTTAAATGATCAGTTCATCTTCAAAACAACACAAAACAGTAGATGACAGTTTCTGAAACTAGCTAAGTGTACTTTGGGGAAACTGAACTCCAAAGAAAAATCAGGCTGCGGACAAGCCAGGTCGCTAAAAACACGCTTACAAGTCTCCAAATAACAAAACGCCTATGGGAGATGCGTGTGCACCTGCTACCTTTTCAAGCAGGCGATGACTCAAGAGCCCGGTTCTAAGTCAAGTCAATAATTGACTTAAACTCTTTGTCTACAACTGGGACCTTCACATTTTTTCATTTTCTACCTGAGATACTGAAGTTTAGGGAGACGCTGTGCTGAACTACTGTTCACAGTTCCCCATTCAATGGTTTTAGTTTTAACGTACTGAAACTATGCCCGGCATCTGCCTTCCTGTTGTCACAACAGTCTGCTCCCAACTTCCCTAAAAGTGTCAAACTACAACAAGGCTTACGCGAAGAGCCCGGTCCCGACTAAGACACGCACCTTTGTCCCCGGCGCGACGCAGGCTACGGTCCCGCGGGCCGCACTCGTTCCCCCGTGGCCGTCCTCATGCCGGCCCGGGAGCCCGGGCTGCGGCGCTGCTAGCAGCCGGCCCCCGAGCCATGCCTCCCGGCGGGCAGCCGACCCACCCCGCGGCCCATGGCCGGGTCCCCGCGCGCCCGGGGAAGCCTCGCCGGCCGTGCCGCCGCGCGGACCCAGGAGGAAGTGGAGAGACGCCGGCTCCACGTCCGCCCGGGCAACTCGGGACCTCGGGGAGAGCAGCACTGCACCCCGGGAGAACTTGCGGGGCGGACGCAGGCTCAGAGCCGCTCCACGGACGCCGGCCGTTAGAAAGCGCGCTCCGAAGGACCTGTTCGCCCCCCGGGCGCGGCCACGCACAGCCCGCCGAACGCGGGGCCCCGGGCGCGGGCGGAGGCTGGCTTCCAGGCCGCGCCGAGGTCCGTCAGGGCAGCTGCCGGCGCGGCGACGCCGTCAGCCCCGGGGCCCGCGCGGCACTAACCGCCGTAACCGAAGCGCCGAGAGGGAGGGGGCTGGAGACCAGGGTCCGGGGGCGGGGCGGGCCGCAGGACCGACTCCTTCGCTCACTCGGCCCGCCGCACCATCACCGCCGCCTCAGACCGCGGCGCTTCGTTGTCGCGAGCCGGAGGGAGGGGGAAGGAGCCGGGAGTCTCAGGGCCCCGGCGCGCGGAGACCGCGGCGCCCAGGTCACGTGCCTCTCGGTCAGCCAATGAGCCCGGGCGGGCGCAGTGACGTCAGGGCGACGGCGTGGCTGGTTTCGGCCGGCCCCCGTCACGTGGCCGGGCGCACTCCAATGGGCGGCGCCGCGGCGACCTGATGTTCCCGGCGGCCCGTGCGTCGGCGGTGGTTGGGTGGTAAGATGGCGACTGTGAGTCTGCGGCTCGGCGATTTGGTGTGGTGAGTCCGGGCGGCTGGGGCCGAACGAGGTGCGCCGAAGAGCTGCCTCCCTGGGCGTAGGGTTCGCGGCCCGCCCCGGGGTTGCCTTTCTATGCGCTCCAGGTCGCAGATAGAGGGCGAGACGAGGTGCCGGCGCTGGAAACGACGCCGGGCGGAAGGGGCAGCCTGGCCCCGGGGGACTGAGGCCGAGGGTGGCCGCGGCGGGCCCGGCTCTGAGTCCCGAGGCCGCCCGGGGAGGGCTGCGCTCCGGCCCCGGACGCCAGCGGCCACTGTGAGAGCAGTGTCCCGCGCCGCGCGGCTCCCGCGGACGCCCGGTCCTCGCCTCGGGGTCTCACTGGGGCTCCCGGGAAAGCATGAGAGCCTGGGAGCCCGCGGGACCATCTCGTCCGGGCAAGCCCATCGAAACCGGCGTTGCAGTGGAAGCGACCTGTGCGGGCGGCTTGTTTGGGGCTGTCGAAACCGGACTGTTGGCGCTGCCCTGTGAAGAAATGGAGGGGGGACTTCTCCTTTACTACTGAAGGCTGAGCAGTGACCGGTGCCTCCTTGGTGCCTCTCGTGGTCTGTTTCTGTGTCCCAGACAACCGCCCGAACCAAGACTGACTGTCGTCGCCTCCCTGGAGCTGCGTAGCTCATTTCTCGACCCAGAGGAAAGGCTTCCATTAGCATTTGTCAAAGCCGGGCTGGTGAATTAAACCAGACTTTGTAAGGGGAAGTCTGTGTTTACAGAGCAGACTGCCCCCCACCCCCGTCTTGTCACGAGGACGCTCTGGACAAACGACTCTTGATGGTTTTTTCTTTTTCTGTATTCCTTGTCACCAGAAGAATGCAGATACCTTACGCACATAAGTCTACAATTTTGCCTTTTATTTCTGAAGGGTTTCAGCCTCTTGGGTCCAGCTGTGGAAGCCACATTAAGAACTGCTGGTTGCCAGCTTTTGTTCTGGAACTTGAGGGTGCAAGTGGAGATTTAGGAAAATAAATTGCATGTTGAGTGGGTTGAAGGAGATGGACTGGCTTTTCCAGGGCAAATGCTGACTGTTTGTGTTTTCTCTAGGGGGAAACTCGGCCGGTATCCTCCTTGGCCGGGAAAGGTGAGTGTCTTGCAACTAAGGGAAGACATCTGAAGTTGGGTTTGAGGAGGCAGAGCATGTAAGATGCAATCCTCTCAATTTTTAGCATTGAGTTAAACTGGGCCTTTTCAGATAACACTCAGAATGTTTTTTCTCTCATATCAGTTTATTTAGAAAATGCAATATAAACCAGGTCATTTAATCTGCAGTAAATTATTTCTTGAATCAGAAATGGCTTGTGGTAGTCTTTTGACCCTTAAAATCCATTCTAACGTGAATTTAGCTTTGCATCTAAATCTAATGGAAGAGAAGAAAATACATTTTCCAGGAAGAAATCTAAATGTAGGTTAGTGAAAAGTCAAAGTATTTTTGTCCCAACTAAGTTTAAATCTTCTTTCCATTTTACCATATGTGCTGCTCCAGTACATCTTTGCAGAAGTTGGCATTCCACATTTTGCATGAGGCAATCCCTCATAGCTTTCCAAATGTTCTGTTTTTATATTCTTGCTAGGAGCCCAGGAAATGCCTTTAGACTGTCTCTTTGCAATATGGCATTTTCAGTGCCTCAGTTGTTGTTCTTTGTCACTGTTACCTGTTTCGACTCTTCCTGCCCAGGAATATTTTTAAGAGTGTCCCCTACATTTCTTTAGTGATGACAGGGCCATGTTGCAGGGGATAATGAAGTTGGTTTTAGTTTTAACTTTTTAAAATATGGTCATTCTTGTAAAAGGAATATTGTTCCCACTAAATATTGTCGTGGATGATAGATGTAGGGCTCTTCTAGAATATTAGCATACATGTATTGCATTATCTCAGTGGAAAAGTACCAGATTTGGACATAAACTAGGCCCTGGGTTTGGTTTTCTTTTGTTATTTAAGATACGCTCCTTTTGTTTTATTTCTTTTTTTCTTACCAACTTACAGCTATGGGAAAAAACCTTTCTTTCCCTTTTATTCCCTAGATTGTTAACCCACCCAAGGACTTAAAGAAGCCGCGTGGAAAGAAATGCTTCTTTGTAAAGTTTTTTGGAACAGAAGATCAGTGAGTAGTGCTCACCAAGAGTTTCACTGTCCCTTTGTTGGGGTGTTGCCCTGGGTGCAACTGCTTTGTGAATATTCTAGGGATCCTGGTTCAGTCTTATTGTAGTCTGTAAGAATGGCATGTCATTCTGGCTTCATATCTAAATAAAAGGAGCTATTCTTATCTCCCACAGATTGTCCTGTGCAGCTGTCCTGGGGCCAATAACAGTGCTAGTCAGGTGGGAACTAGGGCTCACCGCCTTCTAAATATGATAATCTCATCAAGGTAGTTTCTCACATCTCTACCCAACTCTACAGGCAGTTCTTTTTATAAGGGTCAGGTTTGGTTCTTTTAATGGTTCTTTATCGTTGGCTTAGGCATGAATTATAGAGAGAAAGCTACAATTTCATTCATCTTAATAAAAGTCACTGTGTAATCTTACTCTTGTAAAGCTAGATGACTTGACCTAACATTGTAACAGTAAAGCTTTTTAACCAGATCCATCCTGGATTGAAATCAGGACTATTAATTTGATATTCTTTGATAGGCCATGTACGAAGTCACAGTGAGGGAAGGAGTGTGAATTTACTTGAGTTTCCAGTGGTGTGTTTAGCTTTCTCATCACTCCAGCAAGTTGATTACCTGGGTCTAGATAGATGGTTTGCTTTCTTAAAGTAGTTGTGTTTCTGTTTATGATTCTTAGAAACTGTAGCTTTGGCTTTGAAAAGTGTCTGACTTTTCTGATAAACCTAATACCGATAGTTGAAATACATGTTTCTAGAAAGTGATGTAAAATATTCTATAGGAAGATCTCTTACAAACAGTATTCTTCACTGGCAGGTTTACCTGTCAGAGTGCTCATCCTGGCTTAGAGGTGACATGGCACGTCTGCCTTCACCATACACATATACCGATGTACCTAGCCCCAGTTCTCTGTTACATACCAGCTCAGCAGCCTTTTGATGGCTGTATTTCAAGGGAGTCACTGGCCCAGAGCTGTGAGAGCCAGAGACAACAGTCTGGAAGAGGGAATGTTCTGATAGTGCCATGGATTTCACAAGACAGGTTGGATGCACAGAACAAGTTCTTGATTGTGCAGCCACACTCCACTTTGCTGGACAGCAGAGGGAACTTCCAGGAGAGCAAATATGGTCCCTGTCTTCCAGGAACTCTGGTGACAAGTATGAACATTTCAAGTGGGATTAGGTGCAGAATAAGCGGTGCATGTAGTTACTAAAGGGACCTAGAACAAGGAGACATCGATGGAGAACATCCAGGGTAGAGAGGCTGGTGGGAGAGACAGGGTTTGGATCAAACTCTGGAGGAAAGACAGAAGGTGAATGGCCAGTGGGGAGACTGGAAAGCACTGGGAGTTTAGTTGGATGTGTGGAAGGAGAGAGCCTCCGTACCTGAGGTAAAGAGCTTGTGCTTGGGGAGAACAGAGCCAACGTGGCTGGCCCAGCTAGGTTACCTAGATGAAGAAGTACACAAGTCTGAAACACCAATGAGAACTCATAGAAAGTAGGGAATTAATTAGATTGCAGGAGGCCTGAAAGCTTTTGCATTTTTATGATAATTTTTTAAGATGCTGGAAGGTTAGAAGAGTAAACTATGTTCCCTGTATATGAGAAGTACTAGATAGGACACAGAAAATTGGAGCTGAGTGAATCTCAGCACTCAACCAGGCAAACCCGTGAAGCCAGTGAAAAGGATACACTTACTGGAAGCAAAAGTAACCTGGTGGTGATGGTGTGATGTCTAACTAAAGTTCTTTGGGGAGAGCCATAAGCAAGTGGATCCACAGTAACTGCTAGATACAATGTCTTCAGCCTTTAAATCTCTTTGATAGAGTTCCACATAAAAAGCCATAAGTTGCCAGGGGACTAACAACATGTTATCTTTTTGTGGCTAAGCAGTTGCCTTAGTGAAAGGCAACAAAGATCTACAGCACTTCTCTAAAGGGAGAAGGATTCTTAGTTATCAGTGTTAAGGCAGGTATAATTTTTTTTAAATTGAAGTATAGTCAGTTTACAGTGTGTCAGTTTCTGGTGTACAGCATCATGTTTCAGTCATGTATGCATATATCCATACATATATCCTTTTTCATATTCTTTTTCATTATAGGTTACTACAAGATACTCAGTATAGTTCCCTGTACAATACAATAGAAACTGTTGTTTATCTGTTCTATAAGGCATATTTTATTTAGAATCTTTATATTATCTGAAGGTAAACTCTAGATTATTCAGTAGGAGCCAGTTACACAGGGGAAAGAGCTTTGGATTTGTTACCGGACTAATGTGCATTCAGATAACCAATTTCACCTTTCTAAGCCTCTGTGTCCTTATCTGCATTTGGGGATAACTCTCCCTACGTCATAGTTATGAGGAAGTAGCATCACTTATTCATGGTGTTGATTGGCATAGAGCAGGTGTTCAACATCAGGTCAGGGCATAGATCTGTTACAAAAGGAAGAAATCTGATAAGAAGCAGGTGGCTTTAAGAGAGGAAAATGTGAGTGAGAGACAGACAGACAGAGAGACAGACCGACCTTGCCCATGGTGGGGTGGGGTTCCCATGGTGGGACTGTTTGAAAAGAAAGGCATCTGAGAGTTGAAAATTCTTAAGGATGTCAGCTAGTT